CCTGTAAAAACTGCAGATACAAAATAGACCAGAGAAAAGATGAGGACTACACATGAAGATATCCAAAAGATGTAAAGAAAGACAAGTGCAAGATATTCAGACTGCCTGCTTCTTCCAAATATTTACTAAAGACCATAAGACAAACAAGTCATCCCAAAACAGACTTAATGACTTAAAAACAAAATAGGGGGCCAAAGGCTCAAAAACAATGCAATTCAGGGATGGGTGGTATTCATCCAATGTTGCTAAATATATCTAGGAGGACATTTGAGTGCCACTGATATTCCTTATGAGAAATTCACTGACAACATGGTTTACTTTTAATCTACTAGTATTCCAGGGTAGTATATTACTCAAATTCAAAAGGGATGACATTATCAGGAATTTTCTCTTAGAACCTCTTGACTTCACTTCTTTCAAGAACTTCCTTAAAAACTTTGACTATTTTACTCACCAATGTTCCTCCTTTGGATCAGTGCCAATTTTTGTCTGATTAAACCTCTGAGAAGTACTTCTGCTACATTTACTTAACTCTGAATCAATTAGGGTACTAGGGTTGTGTAAGTATCCTCTTTTTATATTTGTGTCTTTAAAAACTGTGGACTGAAATGAGAAAAATGAACTGTTTTAAAAACCAGGATTTAGCAGGATGGTTGCATAGTTTCACAGAAAGGAATTTGAAACCTACTGCAAGCTCTTTATGTGGCTATGGATTCCTGTAATATGTATGATGATGAGGAGGCAAGGAGTAGTTTACCAGCAAAGCTGATTGATTCCCAGCTACCTGAGCAGATTGGAAGTGGAAACAAGTTAGAGACACAGAGAGAAGGAAAGAGAATGGTGTTCAGTTGTTGTCCCCAGCAGAAGCAGACTGTTCTCTGCAGTAAAGAGACTTGGTTTAAACTTGAAGAAAACCAGTTACCTTTCCTGCAGCAGTTGCCCTGAGCTGTGACTTTTAAATTCATAAATCAGAAATACTTGCAAAGTGAATCAGCCGCTTGGTGTTTCTTATAAATAAGTGGAAGTTCACACAGAAAGACAACATAGTACCAAAGGCCTAGCAAGTAGAAGAAAGATCATCTTAACATTGGAAGTGGGAAGCAAAGATCACTCAACTGACTTTCCAGCTTTTCTACCACCATCAATAATCTATTTATACTATTTGTTTGTGTGTATGTGTAAGGGGACTTTATTAGGAAATTAGAATTGTCGGTAGCAGTGTTATATGCCAATGGTTTAAATCTTATTACCACCAGCTATAGTCTAATTATTTAGAATAAATAATAATTCTTGTTTAGTACAGAAACCTGGTCTTGTACTTTTTGTCAACGGGGTCTGAAAGTCAGGTAAACTGGAATACTGTGTTTACTTTTAAAAATGACCTTAACATTTGGTATGACTCCAGGAAGAGAGGGCTTGATTTACGACATTTGATTTACGTGAGTATAACAGTTGAAAACAGTTTAGTTCAGTCTAAAGGCAGGGCAGAGGGTGGAATTAGTGGCAAGAGGAACAGAGCTTGAGATTGAGGGGCCAAAACGATGGCTTTAGTTTTCCCAATATCTAAACAGTGATAGCTTATTTGATTTTATAGAAATTGAGTATTGCTTAAATTAAGACACATTTTGTTGAATCTTTGCCAGTTCACTCAAAGGACAGTTTGCAGGAATACCAATTCAAGAAGAAAACCAACATTTATACAGAGCAGCGTGCTGCTTGGTTGGACGCTAATCAGCAGAGGTTTTGCCATTAAGAATGCACCAATAATTGACAGCTATCTGTCAGATGTTGTTTAAATTATACACCAGTTATTATTTAAATTATAAAATGGCTCTGATTGGTCAGAGCATTGCCTGGAGAAATGAATAAATTAATAGCTGACATCTATTTTGTTGAGGCGATGTGCGTACATGTTCTTTCTGTCTGTAAAATACAGGGACCTTTGTATTGTTATAATAAAGCTTACAGTCCATACAACCCATACTGCAAGCCTGCCTGACAATCCTAAATTGGCTGACAGCATAATTCTTCACATACTCAGGGCTATCCAGCAAATGTTGTCCAATTGCAAAATTGCATCTAATGTTGGACATTCTTTTTTGCAGGTTTTGCAAAACGAGTATTTTGCTTGTTGTAAACAGCCACAGCAGTACACTGTTTGACACACTCCGCCAGCCTTCAAGAAGTATGTGATGCCAAATTCGCATGCCATGACAGTATTAATTTGTGTGAGAGGCAGAATGTTATTTTGGCTTGACGTCAGCATCCTGTTACTGGTGAATACTATGTATGTTGCTACTGCATAGTAACTGTATAAAATATCTAGCTTCACCTGTTTGTCAAATGTTTAAAATACCTTCCAGCATAGTCTGAGGTAGATTGGGCAGTTTTCAGAATCAACAATAAATGCTTTAGGGCTTTTCATGAGTTTGCATAAAATGGGGCAAACAAATTATCTGATCAAGGTAACCACCAACCCATAGGATAGCTTTGTTGCGGCCCATTTTAACATCAGGTTTGCATGGTGAACAACTGACTTCAGCTCTATTTCCAAGGTTGCACCAAGGCCAATGTAGCAGCATATGGAAATGTAGGAATCCCAATGTGTATACTGACCAGTGAAGGTAGTTGTGTAGTAAACAGTTCCAGGGAACTTGATGGCTGATTTCTACAATAGGACATCAAGAAAAGGGAGCTAATTTGACTATTCCATTTCACACCTGAATATGAAAGTGTAAGGAAAATCTTACATGCAGCTACAGATTTATTTGTAGCAAATGTATCATCTATATATTGGAAATGTGGAAATGGTAAGAGCTTAGGTGGCATTCCATCAAAGGTGGAATCCAGGAAAGGTATTTGTAAGACCTGGGCCTAATGATAATCCCATGGCAACACCAACTATTTGGGCATAAATAGTGTATTTTAAATGGCACACATTTGTATGAGTTGATAAGTTCAAAAGTTCAATGAATACTGATTCACACAATGGTGGCAGCCTAGATCACCATGACAGAATGCTGCAGTCAGCTGTCTCTGGCTTTCTTGAATGATACATTGGTGAACTATGCAAGCAATGCTAAACCAGCAGATGACTATTGTCGTGTATGGTCTGTGCAATTGTGAAGGAAATCTTCATTGTGTAACTGGAATATTTGCTCAAAACTAGTTGAAGCAATTCACCCATAGTTGACAAAAAGGAAGCTAGAAGAACACAGCAGTCCAGGTAGCATCTGGAGGAAAGGAGCATTTTGGGTATTACCACATTTTGGGTATTACCCTTCTTCAGAACTGGATGTGGGGGTAGGGGGAGCTGCAGATAAAGGCAGTGGAGGGGGTGTGGTGGGAAGGTGTGGAGGCGGAATGGTGGTGATAAGCAATTCACCCAACCATGTGGCCAGCTAATGTGCAGAACCGGTCAAAGAGAGGGCATAAAGGGAATCACTTTTGTCTGTCCTGGGCAGCCCATAGGCATGTGAAAACAGTGAGCAGTGCAGCTCCTTCTTCTTAGATTATAGTTCAGCAAACACTTCTTTTCAGAATTTTTTTTTTTTGTTTTTCTCTATTTCTCTTCAAGTTTCTATTTGGAGATTTTTGGCACATTTGCTTTTAAATAGAAATAATTGCCTATCAGACACAGAAGTCCAGAGGCCCACAGAAAGCAGGCGATTGGTATCACATGGAATAAAAGCTATCCGGTCACGCTGAGAGGTAGGTCCACTGAATACAGAATGGCACATATTTTGTTGATATAGTGATTTGTGGAGGGATAGCTGAGCTCAAACTCAGCATATATCTGTTTCTGTTTGATATGACATGAAGGCACATCAAAATAGAAATCATGCGCAAGGACAAACTTCTCACTTTCAGACAGTACACGGTCAGAAAGATTTACTACGTGTTTTGGCATTGTTGAATGAGTTGTCATCTGCTCCCCCTTAAGGGAGTTAACAGTGTAGGTGTGTTTAAATTGAGACGGTTTACCGTGCGGTCGTTTACTGAAGAAATATGGTGGCATAAATTTTAAAGGACATTTCACATTATCAAGGGCTGGGTATCGGTCAAGTGGATCGAAAGCAAACAAGATTACTTTAAGTCAACATCTTTTTGCAACCCTCGCACTCCCAAGATGCTACACCAAAGTTGTTTATGGGATTGTCACCACAATTAGTTAAAATCGGGGTGCATGCCACCGATACCAAGGAATTAAAATGATTAAAAAGAGAAGTTGCTGGAAGCTCAGCAGGTCTAGCAGCATCTGTGAAGAAAAAAAACATTAAATCTGATTTTTTTCTTCACA